TAGAGTAATTTTGTTCGGCGAAAACAGAGATGATGCCGGAAAGAATTGTAAGAAATTAGAATAAAAACATAAATGGGGGATGCATGAGATGAGGAGTGGGGGGTAGAATGGAGATTTCCAATGAGTTACGACTCAGAAAAGAAGAGGTCATTAACACACAGTTTGTGCGGGCTGCTTTTTGAATATGTTCTTGCTTTAGAAGTTGATCAGACTCAGTTCGGTTCTTTGTACCGATACTTCGATCGGCTTCTTTGGGCTTTATGGACTTCTGAGACGGCTTTCGCTTTTTAGCACTTCACGCCATGCAATTTTTTATAGTGGCAGGGAGCAGCGTCATCAAATACGGGAACCTGTGGATCGACATATGCGGAACATGCGAAAAAGAACATGATTGGTCGTGGTGCCAGTCAGCAAGCTCAGACACAAGCACGAACATACGAGCAGCAGCAATGGGGCCAGATAAAAGTGGACCAGGTGATACATTTGGCTTGCTGTTGCTTCCTTTCTAAACTTTTTGATCTGCGGTGTCCGGCCTTTTGATTCCTAAATTGCACAGCATCAAAACATTGTATCTGTTTGTTCCTTGATTTCTGGAGAATGGTGCAGAATATGTCAGTGCAGAATTTGCTTGAAAAGCTCTGAAATTTGTTTTTAAAATGCTGAAGGCATTTGGCTGTCCAGTACCTTTCTGTGATTCCAGTTGGAGAGTGGCAAATGTTTGGTTTAGTCAGCGAAACCGTTGCGGGAATAGCACGTCGATTTGTGTAACTGGCGCTGCGATTTATCGCATTCTTCACTGCAGTTCTCGATCGGGCCGGGTTACATCTTGGTTTCTGCGCATCTCGGCCGATTTCAGTAAAGACGCCCACAGATACAAGTTGAGGGGTCTGGTTACTCAGATTGGCAGATTTAGGTGCTGTTTTAAACTGGGGTGTGTATTAAAAGGCATTAATCGGCACATCTACGGTCTGCCGGCTTGAAACTTCCAGTGGGCCGGACAGTGCAAAGGAGGATTCAGATTACTAATAAATCCGATGTCGGTTTTTTCTGAGTAATTTCCGAACTGTTAGCTGTCGTGTCTGGATGTTGGCCCTCAAACGGACCACAATGCCTGCAAATGGTTTGCTTGAGCTTTTGCGTTGTTTGTTTGCTTACATCTTCATTTATGTGATTTTTTTTCAGTCTTATTCACTTTTATTATCTTTTCTCATTTACTGCAGCAAACTCCGTGGGATACGGGTACATTGGCCGGATTCAACGCTGTCCATGTAGCGGCAAATGATCCGAAGACAGTAGCTGCTGCCGACTGGGGACCGGCCGGCGCTACCGCAGCAGCAGCGCCTGCACGTTGGGGCCCACGTAAGTTGTCTGGCTGTGTAATTGTTGGGTGGGAGGAATATTACATCCATGTAGGGTAGAACCACAGTGCGTTCTTTCGCTCCTTGGCGTACCCACAAAATACTGAAGACTCAAATATCCGTTGGTTGACGGCTCTTTGTGGGATGGCTAAAGCGCTCTTCTCATGTTCAGGTCCCTGCCCCGAGGAAGGT